GGTGAGGCCCGCGAGGGAGCGCGGCAGCCCACGGACGCGCTGCGCCACCATTGGGCACACAGCGGTCGCCCGGCGCATGGCGCTGGGCCGGGTCTGCACCGACCCGGTCCTTCGTCCGCATACTGTATCGTCCGGTCGTTGGGCAGTCTGTAAAGGCCTACGGCTGCCTTCCTCCCCAACTAAACCTTCCGTGGGAGTGTGCACAGAGGTCCAATCTTTAAAGGCACGCCTTCATTCTGTCCTTACCTTGGGGCTTTACCCCAGTAACACCGCGAAGCTCATTTGAAAGGTGAGCAAACCTGGGAGGGTGACTGAGACTCTTTAGCAAGCACTAGAGAAGAAAAGAAGGCGGTCCTGGCGTGCTAGCAAGGTGGGGTCAGATGGGGGGGCAGGGGGGGGGGGGTGGGGTGAAGGGTTGGGGGAGGGGGGCAGACAGGTGTGGGAAATAACACTGCTGGTGATGGTGATGGGATTTTAACCTTCCTTTTAACTGAGGCAGCTGCGCCTGTTCCGGTGACTCAGACCAGCATTTTAGGTAGTAATAGATGTTATTTGTATGTCGTCCCCCCCCCCCAGGGGTAAGTAGGTAATTGTTCTAGCTCGCGGGGTGGGGGGGGAGGGGAGGGCTCTCCAGGCTACTTATTAGCCGAGATGGACTTTACTTCAGAATACCTACACATTATAAACTAGACCCTTTACTATCTTGGGAGGGATAATTGGTATTTGTCTTATCAAACGATTGCACATCTACCCCCACGGTACTCTGGACATTTGTGCAGCACGTTCATGAGGAGCCCAAGCATCTGCCATCACATCCTACTTCAGTTCTCAAGCTATGCAGCCAGGCTTGGACACCTAAATTACTAGAGGACAATCTGCAGTTGTAATGACTTTCTGCTGGGAGCACAGGAAGATCCAAAGTCACTGTGACGTCTGACCAGCTGCTGCTTAGATTCATGCATCGACCCACAAAACCAACCAAGCTATTCAAAATTGTCCAGAAATAAACATTAATGCTTGTTCACGTGACCCAAGGGAGGTTAAAATCCAGGGTGGATAGGTTAATTTTAAATTCTGAAAAAAAAAATTCTTTGATTTCAAAGAATTGGGCTGAATGAGGCTGCCAGTTCTAAAGTGGAGGCATATGGCTAGGGACTAAGGCAAGAGCTCACGGATGACCATTCAGGTAAGTGCTTCCGCGTCTGTCATTGCCCCTGAAGAAATTCACATATGTTACGGTCTGCTGAAGACAGGAATGCTAATGAGGAAAGAAAGCTCTGCATCTGTGTTACACGCACATCATCGCAGTCCTTGAGACTGAAGCAGGAGGATGGGGAATTTGAGGTCAGCCTGGGCTACAGGGTGAGGTCTTGTCTCAAAATGATAATCCTCAGGAGGTGGTGGAGCACATCTTTAATCCCTGCATTCAGGAGGCAAAGGTAGGCGGATCTCTGTGAGTTGGGGACTAGCCTGGTCTACAAAGCAAGTTCCAGGACAGCCTGGGCTACACAGAGAAACCCTGTCTCAAACAGCGTAAACATAAAACGCAAAGGGAGCTTCTGGCTGGGGACGTAACTCAGCATCAGCATTTAGGAGGTGAAGGCAGGAGGAATTCAAGGTCATTGTTAGCTGCAAAGTGAGTTTGAGGCCAGCCTGAGGTATGTGAGATCCCGTGGGTGGGGGGGAGCCTTAAAGTTGTAAACTTTTATTAAAAAATAAAAACAATAAAAAAACGGAAGTCATCCATTCAACACTGTCATCACTTCCTTAGAGATGTCCTTCCCTTCCTGCCGATCAGTCAGCTGTTCCCACAGACTACTGGAAATGGGCACCAGCAATGTCCCTTGTGGAGATTACACAAGTCTCTCTCTTGTGATATGCTTCTTTACATCCAACCAATGGAAATTAAGCCTTTTAGGAGCATATGGATTTAGTTATGTTGTCTGGACTGCTTCCAAGCTTAAGTTTTATAGCTTTCACCCCTTTCTATTTTGTATTATTATTAATATTTTTATAATGTTTAAATATTTATTTATTATGCATACAATATTCTGTCTGCATGTATGTCTGCTAGGCCTCATTACAGATGGTTGTGAGCCACCATGTGGTTGCTGGGAATTGAACTCAGGACCTTTGGAAGAACAGGCAATGCTCTTAATCACTGAGCCATCTCTCCAGTCCCCAATATTTTTATTATTATTTTATTATGATTGAGACAAGGCCTTGTTATGTAGCCTTAGATATCCTGCAATTCACCATGTAGACAAGGCTGGCCTCTAATTCACAGATATCTGCCTGCTTCTGCCTCCAGAGTCCTGTGGCTGTGTGTGTGTGTGAGTGTGTGTGTATGAATGTGTGTATGAATGACTGTGTGTGTGTGTGAGTGTGTGTGCATGAATGACTGTGTATATGTGAGTGTGTGTGTGTGTATGGATGTGTGTGTATGAATGACTATGTGAGTGTGTGTGAGTGTGTGTATGAATGACTGTGTGTGAGTGTGTGTATG